GGGGATGGCTGCCTTTGCCCAGTGCCAAACTGGGTGTCATGAGGGCCACCTCTTCCTGGTACCCGATAATGTTCAGTCCCACTTTGCAGAAGGAAAACTGAGGCTTGGAAAAGCCCGAAATCCTGAGATAACACCTACGTCCTCCCATTTACTGGGACTCCCACTGTCCCTGCAGCTGCGGGTTCCCTCGGCTGTCCCACTCTTGGACCTGGACATTAGAGTATGTTGTCAGGCTGGAGGGGACCCTCAGGAGGGTCATCCACCCAATTGCCTGTGAGGTTCCATAGGACTCATCAAGTTAGGGTGGCCATAAATTGAGCACATAAAAATACAGGACTCCCAGGCAGACTTGTTCTTCTCATGTACATTTTAAAATCGACATATAATTCACATACCATAAAATTCTCCTTTTAAAGTGTACAGCTTCAGATTTTTAGCATATCACAGAGTTGTGGAACAATCACCACTATCTAATTCCAGAGCATTTTCGTCTTGTCACCACCAAAACCCTGTACCTGTGAGCAGTCATTCCCCTTCCCCCTTCCCCAGCCCCTGGCAACCACCACTCTGCTTCCTGTCTCTATGGATTTACCTGTTCTGGACATTTCATATAAATGGGATTACACAACATGTGGCCTTTTATGTCTGGCTTCTTTTACTTAGCATAATGTTCTCAAGGTTCATCTGCATTGTAGCAAATATCAGTACTTCATTCCTTTTTAATGCCAAGTAATATTCTTTTACAGATATAACACTTCTTGTTTATCCTTTTATCTGTTAAGGGACATTTGGGATGTTTCCACTTTTTGGCTGCTGTGAATAGTACTGCTATGAACATTCACATACCGGTTGTTGTGGGGACATTGTTTTCAATTCTCCTGGGTGTATTTCTAAGAGTGAATCCCTGGGTCATATGATAACTCTATGTTTTAACTTTTTCAAAAACTACCAGATTGTTTTCCAAAGCAGCCACCATTATGGGCTGAATTATATTCCCCTAAAACTCATATGTTGAAATCCTCACCCCCAGGACCTCAGAATGTGACTCTACTAGGAGACGACATGTATAAAGAGGTAATTAAAGTAAAATGAGGTCATGTGGGTATGTTCTAATCCAATATGACTGGTAGTTTTATAAGAAGAGAAGATCAGAACGCAGACATAAACAGGGGAAAGACCACGTGGAGATACAGGGAGTGGACTGTGGTCAGCAAGCCTGAGGGAGAACCTCCAGAAGAAACCAAACCTCCTGACACCTTGATCTTGAACTTCCAGCCTCCAGAACTATAAGGAATAAATTTCTGTTGCTGATGCCCCTCGATCTGTGAAACTTGTTACATCAGCCCTAGTGAACTAATACAGCCCAGCAGTTAAATTTGATTTTGGAGCAATACTGAATAATTTTTCAGTGCATGTCCCATGCAATACTTTGAACATAATTATACAGAAAAGTTATGTGTTGTCTGTCTGAAATACTAATTTAACTGGGTGTCCTGTGTTTTATCTGGCAACCCTACACTAACTGGACTTCAGAGTGTGGCTTGCATATCCCAGGTGATGGGAAGCTCATGCCCTTTAACGCCCAACTGTTCTATCTCTGGCTAGTTCTAACTAAAAGTTCTCCTGTAGTCCACACTGGGGTGGACATGTGACCTAGAGTCTTTATTCACCTCAGCCACTGTGATTGGTTTAAGGTGGGCATGTGACTCAAGCCCAGCCAATCATAGCCTTCCTTGGGACTTATGCTAGAATCCTGGGGAAAAGAGAGGTTCCCTGTACTGGAGGTGGTTGGCCTGGGCAAATGGGGAGTCACAAGAGAGGTCTCAAATGCCCCTGCTTTATTTGGGGAACTGTACACAGAACTCCTTCCAAAGGGACTCCTTCAATGTCCAACAGGGAGCAGTTATTGACTGACTGAGTGAAGGAATGCATGGTGAACACCTATGCATCCTTCAAAATCCACTTTAAATTCTCTTTGAGAAGCATCAGAGAATATTTTGAAGGAATTTTTTTTTGTGAGCTTCTACACATCCATCAAAACCCTCCTCAGATGTCTCCATAAGGGGCATCAGGAAGTGTGATTATTGAATGAATGTTTTCTTCATAACCTTCTACATATTCTTTAAAATATCCTCAAACGATCATCTGCAGGCATCAGAGAGTCCTGGGTGTGTGAATGAAAAATGTTCTTACTGGTGAATGAAGCCTATTAATGTATTTGTTAAATAAACTGATAGATTTTCTCCTTGCAAATTCCTACTCATCCTCAGTACCCTCCTTAAATGCCCCTCAGGAGCTTGACTGCCTCTTGACCACAGGGAGGGTAAGTAAGCTCAGCCCTCCCCAGACTGAAGTTTCCTTTCCCAGGGAAGAAAGCAAGCGGAAGCCAAAGGGGTGGGGAAATTTTGTGGTTCCTCCTGATGATTTCTGATTTCCGGAGATGGGTGACTATAACCTGATCCTTCCTGACTGCCCCTCCCCTCAGTTTGTGGGACATCCGAAAGTGGGGCAGCCCTGGGGGCCTATCTTAGCTGTGCTTCTGGGGCACCTGTGAGGAACCAATAAGGGTCCCTCAGGGTTTCCTGGCAGGCCAAGGGGCGTGTGTGCGTGCGTGCGGGCGCAAAGGCTTAGAAGGTGGGCTGTGGTCAACCTCAGGGTGAGCCTTAGCCTGTAACCTCGATAATGGTAGAAACACCGCCTCACGTGTTGCTAGGGTCCTGCTTACATGCCCTCCATGGCTCCCCAGGACTCTTAGGAGAAAGCCCAGCCCTTTAGTCCGCCATTCCAGGCCCTGGCCCACCTCACCACCTTCATCTTGCCCACGGAGCCCTAGACCCGCTATATTTATCTTGATGTTCTCCAAAGCGTGTTCCCCCGCACTTTTACCCCTGCTGTGCCCTCCACTGGGGACACCCTGCAATTATATCAACCAAGACCCTCCTTCTCTGGGCAGCCCTTCCTGCTGCCCTTTGGAACACTCCTAGACTCTGCCCTTCCCTAACCCCAAGGAGCTGGGGCGCCTATGTCCAGCTCTCCCCCTACCCCACCTCTCTCTCTCCCTCACTGTTTCTCCAGCAGCTGCTCTGATGTTGGAGGGATGGAAAAGAGGTATGACAACAGCAAAGGCCAGTGGGGAGGGGTGTCCAAAACAATGACTAATCATATTGGCTCTCTGGCAGGCAGCGTCCTCTTTGTCCTTCTTGCATCTCACGGTACAGTCACCAGGGGACTGGGTCCTGGGAGGGCAGGTGGACGCAGCCCTGAGGCATGGGCCTTACTCCTGAAGAGGCAAAGCTCAGCTCTGTTTGTCCATCTCTTCACCACCAGCCCAGGCCTCCTGTGGTCAGGGCGCTTCTGGGCTCGGCTTCCCCACCTGTGAGATGGGGCACGTGGCAGTGTCTCCTCAGGATCTTTGAGAGGGGCCGTGGGTTTGGCTATATCTCCAAGGTCTCTTCCATCTTTAGGTATCTCTCTATCTCGGCCTCTGTCTTCGCCCCTCCCCCAGGCCTCACGCACCAGTCCTGAAACCCACTCTGCCCCCTGGGCTTGGCCTGGGCCCCACTGCACTGCCAGTGACACTGTGTGGGGTCACGGGGTCCCCGTCCCCACTGTCCCCGTCCCCACTGTGCCAGGCCTGAAACACTGCCTCTTTGTTCCTGTGGCTCTGATCTCATGGCCTGCTGGACGCCTGACCCTGGATGGCCCAGCTGCCCCTCAGAACTGGGATCCTCAGAAGAGGGGCCTCCTTTCTGCCCGCCCTGAGCCTCGGTTTCCCCAGATGCTGTCCCCCAGCGGAGACCTCCCTCTGCTCTTCAGTCCTGCTTGGCTTCGTGAATGTTGTTTTTTTTAGCTGAAAATTACATAACATAAAACAAACCGTTTTAAAATGTACAATTCAGTGGCATTTAGCACATTCACTACGTTGTGCAATAAGCACCTCTATCTTGTTCCAGAACATTTCATCACCCCAAAAGAATACCCCATCCCCATGAGTAGTCACTCCCCACCTCTCTTCCCCCAGCCCATGACAACCACTAATCTGCTTCCTGTCTCCGTGGGTTTCTCTGATCTGGACATTTCACATCAATGGAATCATACACCATGTGGCCTCTTGTGTCTGGCTTCTGTCACTTAGTGTCATGTTTTTGAGGTTCATCCACGATGTAGCATGAATCTTCATGGACATTTTGGGCTTCTTGTTGATCCTGGCTGGTGTGGCTCAATGGATTGTGTGCCTACCTGCAAACTGAAAGGTTGCTGGTTCGATTCCTGGTCAGGGCACATGCCTGGGTTGTGGGCCAGGTCCCCGGTTGTGGGCATGAGGCAACTGATTGATGTATCTCCTGCACATTGATGTTTTTCTCCCTCCTTTCCTCTCTCTCTAAAAATAAATAAATAAAACCTTAAAAAAGAAAAGAAAAGAAACAGACACAGGGGAAAGACTAATTTGAGCCTAAAGGAAGCAATGAGACTCATCCGGACCTGAGACCCAGAGTGCCCCGAGGCTAGAGTTTGGGAAATGGAGAGGGGGTATTTTTTGGGGGAGGGAGGGGCTCAGGGTAGCGCAACGACCTGATAACAATTCATTGGGAGAGTGACCTCAGACATCCAAGAACATTGAGCTCCCAGAGGCTGGCCAGAGAGGGCTAGAGACCCAAGTAAGGACATGGAGTCCCAGGTCACTGAGGGGACTGGGACTTGGTGTCCAACTTGGGTCTGGGGCCAGCAGAACCAAACCCCAGACCTGGGGCCCCGGGTCTGACTTGCCCCGCAAGTGGGTTGTGGCTGGTACGAGGCTGCGCCCACCATCAGGCTAACTTCCTGGGTTTCTCTTTCACTTTGCTTTGCCCAGGAGGTGACATGATATGGAACTTTTTTTTTTTCTTTATTTTTTAGTGTTCTTTCCTGCTCAGCTTTAAAGTGCTCTGAGGACAGGGCGGTTGGGGCCTTGCCAGTGGCTCACAAGCTCTTCCGAGGCCTCAGGCCTCTGCGTGGACCCGATGGGGCAGCCGGGGACCAGGCTGGCCCTCCTCCTGCTGTTCCTGCTCCCCAGGCAGGGTGGTGAGTTTCCCGCCCTGGTGCCGCTGCTTTTTTTGCTGGGGCAGGGGACAGGAGGTGCATGTGCGGGGGGCGCCGTGGACGGGTTCTAGGGTTGTATTTGTGTCTCCGTGCCTTTCTGTCTCTGTCACATGGACGACCGGTGATCATGTGTGCCTTTCTGTCTCTGTCATGTGGATGATCGGTGATCATGGCTTCTGGGGTCAGACTTAAGCATCTCCCCCTGGTCTTGATTTTGTCTTATGTAGAATGGGCTGGATCTTTGAATCTTTCTCACCTCCTAGAGCTCAATGTGAAATAGCTAAGGAAGGAATAATGAGCAAGTATGTATATGATAGATACGCCTAACATAGCATTATGTCTTATATATACTCTCTCTCCATCTTGTGGGGTCGGGTGGGAAGGGGCCCAGCCTCCTGTGGATGACTGGGTTTAGTCTCTTATCCCAGCTCTGCTGTTGCTGCTGTGTGAACCTGAGTAACTTTCTGCCTCTCTGTGCCTCAGTTTTCCTCTCTGTAAACTCAGTTTCCTTCTCTAGCAAGGTGTCAGGGCCTTTGGATGTCAGGCAGGGCTGGAGTCCAGAAGACACTGGAGTGCTTTGGAGGAGCAGCCAAGAAGTTGATGGGCAGATGGGTGGGTGGGTAGGGAGATGGATGGATGGATGGATGGATGGGTGGATGGATAGTTGGATGGGTGGATGGATAGAAGGATGGGTGGATGAATGGGAGGGTGGGTGGGAGGGAGAGATGGAAAAGTGGGTGAGGGGGTGAATGGCCACTGAGCCAGCCCCCAGGCTGAGCCCTTCTCCCCATGCACTGAAAAGCCAGGACTGTCATTATCTTCCTATTGTCTTCACAGCTGACGCCTGTGGTACCAGCAGGTGCTGTTTTCAGGACCCGCCCTATCCGCATGCAGACTCAGGTTGGGGCCATTTCCCATTGGGGCCATGGAGGGCTCTGACTGAGGAATCCTTAGCAGCCCCTCCCTCCGCTCCCTCCTGCCCAGCCAAAGACACACCTGGGGACTCGGGAGCCCCTGCCTGACAGACAGCCTGCCGGCTTGTCCTCACCAAGCTCTGGTGTCCCCCAGAGGAGCCTCGTCTCCTCCCCAGCAGGGCTGCGGGGCCGGTGTCTGCCCCTGTTCGCAGTGGTCAGCACATGGGGTTAAGCAGCTGTTACATATTTTGAATTTTTAGTCCCCCCACCCTGGCGGCCCTTGCTGGAACATTTAGGCTTGTCACGCACCCCACTAAGATCTTGCCACGGAGTAGGTGCGTCATCCATTCTTTTGTTCAAGAACTGTTTACTGAGCACCTACTATGTGCACACACAGTCCCAGTCATGGAGGAATCAGCTGCGAGCCCAGCTCTCCTCCTGGGGTCGCGGCTGCGTGTGGGAGGTAGACAGCAGGTCAATAAATGCACCTATTGCCTACAATGGCGTGCACAGAGCAGCGAGGGATGGAGAGGGAGGGGACTGCTTCCGGTAGGGAGGGGACTGCTTCCAGTCGGGAGGTGTCACTGGGGAAAAAACTGGAATGTCAAGATCTCAGGGAGGGGACACCGCAGGTGCAAAGGCCCCCCGAGTAGGAGCGGACCTGGAGTGTCTGAGGCTGCATGAGGAGGCTGGTGTGGCCGCAGCGGGGGGAGCGGGGGCGGGGGGGGGATGGCGGGAGGCAGGCATGAAGGGCGCAGGAGGGTGCTGGGCGCTGTGCAGACTGTGGGGATACTGGATTACAAGTGTGTCACATATGTGTCACCAAGGGTCATCCCGAGGGTGTCAGTCAGCACAGAGGCCCCTCCTCTACTTTGGTCTGTTCTCAAACCTCCAGGGTCTCCTCCAGGCTCCGCCTCGGGCCCCAGGGACCTGAACTGCTACCGGATATTTGGTGCTGGTTATGAATGCTCCTGGGAGTATGAGGGTCCCACGGCTGGGGTCAGCCACTTCCTGAGGTGCTGGTAAGGACCACTCCGCAGACCCCAAACCCTCACCCACCATCCTGCCCCTGGTCCTGACCCGGTTCCCCTGTCCTTAGATGTGTGATTGCAAGCCAGGGCTGGCCCTTGCTTCCTCCTGGGCCTCAGTTGCTCACATGAGCAGGGAGGGTGGGCACTCTGTTGTGAGGGGTCAGTCGGTGGGCATCCTGATTGAGCAGCAATCAGGGTCCCTCTAGTCCTTCTATCATCCTTACCTTCTCACCCATTTGTTTGTTCATTCATCCATCAATTCATTTCTTCCTTCTCTCCATGGCAGCTCACACTGGGAGATTTGGGGTCCCACAAGCCCCTCAATCCCAGGCTGACCCCGAAGGAAACCCTAGGCCAGGGAGGGGGGGTCAGAGGGCAGAGGAAGATGAAGGGATGTGACGCACACTGTCTGCTGTGGCTGAGACATTTTTGGAGTCCACTCGGACCCCAGACTCAGCACCAACACCCTCTTTCCTGCAGCCTCAGTCCCAGGCGCTGCTGCTACTTCTCTGCAGGCGCGGCCACCACGCTGCAGTTCTCCGACCAGGACGGCATACCTGTGCTCTCTAATGTCACGCTCTGGGTGGAATCCTGGGCCACCAACAGGACGGAGAAATCACCCGAGCTTACCCTGAAGCTACACTATAGCTCTGGTCAGCACCCTGCTCTTCTCCTCCTCCTCCTCGCTGCCCTTTTGTCACCCAGAGATGCCTCTGGTCACCAAGCCTGGGCCTGGGGAGACTCTGGGCCCCCTGCAAGGGGCTTGAAAAGTCCAGCCATTCACACATCAAACACTGCCTGGGACTTGGCCGAGTCCTAAGTGGCTCCCTTCCCCATCGCCTACTGCGGGGCACTCAGGTTGCTTCTGGTTTCTCCCTGACGCTACAATGGCGCCAGGACCGTTTTTATGAGTCAACAACATGCATTTGGCATATAGTTGTCAAGGTGCTACTGTGTCCACACTGAGCCATAGGGACCGAGGGCAAGGCCAGCGAAAGTCGGAGGTGGCATCCTGGGGCTGGGACTAGGATGAGGTGAGCAAAGCAGCACTTTGGGGACAAAATTTTAAGAGGTACCAAAAAACCCTCAGTAGTTAATAGAAACAACATGATAAGATGATATTTTTTAAAAATCAAAATTAGCCCTGGCTGGCATGGCTCAGTGGATTGAATGCCAGCCTGTGAACCAAAAGTTTGCTTGTTCAATTCCTGATCAGGGCACATGCCTGGGCTGTGAGCCAGTCCCCAGCTGGGCGTGTGCGAGAGGCAGTCAACCAGTTGATGTTTCATACATCAATGTTTCTCTCCCTCTCTATCTCCCTCCTTTCCTGTTCTCTCTAACAATAATTAATTAAATAAAATCTTTTTGAAAAGAAGTATAAAAATCAAAACAATTAATGCTAAAAAAATCCATGATAAACAAAATATCAAAATTTTAAATAAAGACAGGATCCAACCCTGTATCTGTACAACCTTGCCTCACTTACCCTACTTCTGGCCCCACCTCTGCCTTCATGGAGCCCAGATCCAAGTCGGGGTGATGGACGAGGTAGAGGTCAACATGCATGATGAGATACTGCTGAGAGGCCAAGAGAGGCCCCCAGCTCAAGCTGAGCTCTGAAGGATAAAATGAATCCAGTAGGAAGAGCGGGGGCAGTGTGTTCCCGGTGGAGAGGTGGAGCCACAGCAAGTTCAAAGGCCCTGAGGGAGAGTTGGGTATGAAAGAAGATAGATGTCTCTCCTTAAGTCAGGCTCCTTGAGGTCAGTCTCAAGAATTACTTTTCCTCATAGTCCTCCAGAGAAATAGAATGAATTAATTACCCTTTTGTCAGCAATTGGCAAAAGTGCCTGTCTTACCACAACCTCGTCAGCAGTGGATGTTAATATTTTAAAGATCTCTTCACTAACAGGATCCTGAGTATTAATTTTGACTCTTTGACCCATAGAATCCCAGACTTAGGCGGGAACTCCAAGGGTGTCCCTGATTCACATTTGGGGGATTTGGTTGGTTACTCTGGGCTGGGCAAGGCATCGGCAGATTTTCTGGAATTTTTGGAACCAACAACTCACACAAATGCCGGCTTCCCCTCTGCACCCCAAACTTTACCTCTGCTTCCAGTTAAATACGACCCTCCGCCAGGAGACATCCAGGTGTCGGCGGCGGCTGGGCGGCTGTACCTGAAGTGGGAGACTCCAGCCGGCCAGGATGGCGCTGAGGTGCAGTTCCGGCACCGGACGCCTGGCAGCCCGTGGAAGTTGGTGAGTTTGTTCCCCAGGTCCAGGGTGGGCACAGGCCTCTCCCAGGGCACTTTCTCCCCTAAATCAGCATCACCATCTCTACACCTGTCACCCATCCCGCCTGGCCTCCACTCTTGCCTCATGTGTAGCCTCTGAGGTCTCTCTGGCACGCAGCTCTGATTGTGACCTCCCTTGTTCACACACCCTCCATGGCTCCCTACTACCCCAGAAGGGCATCCTTGTCCTCAGCCAGACCTAGGTGCCCTCACTCACCTCGTGTTTCCTCTGGCGCCCTCCTGAATGGCCATGACTCTCTACCCATGGCCTGGATTTCCAGCCTCCTTGCCTTTGCGCATGAAGTTTCCTCCGCCTGCTTGGCTCCCTTGCTATAGGAGCACATGTGAATCCCGTCCACCCTCAGACTCTAGCTCAAGGTCCACTTTTTCCAGGAAGTTGTTTTTCTACTCATTCCTTCCTTCCCTCTCCTTCTTTTTTATTTTATTTTTTAAAAAGATTTTATTTATTTATTTTTAGAGAGAGGGGACGGAAGGGAGAAAGAAAGGGAGAAATATCAATGTGTGGTTGCTTCTCGTGTGCCCCCTACTGGAGACCTGGCCTGCAACCCAGGCATGTGCCCTAACTGGGGATTGAACCGGCGACCTTTTGGTTCGGAGGTCGGCCCTCAATCCACTGAGTCACACCAGCCAGGGTCCCCCTCTTTCTTTTTTTACAAAATTAAGATATAATTCACATATAACATTATATTAGTTTCAGGTATAGAACATAATGATTCAATGTTTGCAAAATGATCACCACAATAAGCCTAGTTAACTTCTGACACCACACATAGTAACAGATGTTCTTTTTCTTGTGATGAGGCCTTTTAAGGTTTACTCTCTGAGCGACTTCCAAATATGCAATGCAGTATTATTAACGATAGTCACCACGCTGTACATTGCATCTACGTGGTTAATTTATTTTGTAACTGAAAGTTTGTATCTTTTGACCCCCTCTAACCATTTTGCCTACCCCTCCGCCTGTCCCCAGCTCCCTGCTCTGGCAGCTGCTAATCTCCTCTCAGTGTCCATGAATTCGGTTTTCTGTTACTTTGTGTTTTTAGATTCCACATATAAGTGAGATCATATGGTATTTGTCTTTCTCTAACTTATCTCACTTAATGCAATGCTCTCAAGTTTCATCCCCGTTGTCACAAATGGCAAGATTTCCTTTTTTTTTTTTTTTATGGCTGAATAACATTCCATTGTACGTATATATACCACATTTTCTTTTTCCATTCCTCCATTGATAGACACCTTGGTTGTTTCCATGTCTTGGTTATTGTAAATGATACTGCCTGCAATGAACGTAGAGTAGCATACGTATTTTTGAGTTAGTGCTTTCGTTTCCTTAAGATAAATACCCAGAAGTGGAATTGTGGATCATGTGATAGTTCTATTTTTAATCCTTTTTTAAATTTAAAGGTTTTTTTACTGATTGATTTTAGAAATAGAGAGGAAGTGGTGAGGAGGGAGGGGGAGAGAGAGAGAGATGTATGTGCCCTGATGGGATCGAACAGTCAACCTTGCTGTCTAGACACGATGCTCTAACCAACTGACATGCCCAGCCCGGGCTATTGTTACTTCTTTGATGAACCTCCATACTGTTTTCCACAGTGGCCATGTTAATTTACAATCTCACCAACAGTGCACAACGATTCCCTGATCTCCACACCCTCGCCGGCATTTGTTGCCTCGTCTCTGTTTGACGACCCTCATTTTAACAGGTGTGAGGTGGTGGTAGCCGGTGGTTTTGATTTGTATTTCCCTCATGATCAGTGATGTTGAGCATATTGTCATGTACCTGCTGGCCATCTGTATGTCTCCTTCGGACATTCATTCATTCTTCGGCTCCTGTCTATTCCCTTCTCTGCACCCCCTGCTGCTCCAGCCAGACTAGCCTGCACCTGCAAGGCACCTCAGTCCGGACCCAGTCGCCAAGGGGCCTCCAGTTTGACAGAGACAGAGACCCCCAGCCTATGCGTTGTGGCCAGTCTCCTTCTCCCTCAGACTGGGAGCATCTCAAGGGCAGGGAGTTAGCTGCCTCAGCTTTAGCCCCATCTTCCTTCTAAGTGTATGCCCCTCCCTGAGCCTCAGTTTCCCGGTTAAGTGACTAGGTTTGGATCAATCAGCAGCAGGTACAGGGGACCCTGAGGGGAAGGGACCTCTCTGTGTTTAATTTGCAGCCTCCTAAGCACATTCTGCAGTAGGCCCTCTCAGACCCCTTTGCAGATAAGGAAACGGAGGCTCAGGATGTCAGGGACCTCTCGGGACATGGGGAGTGTGGGGCAGGCTGGGGCAGGCCTCTCCTGACGCCCGACACCACAGGCAGATGGGTTTTGCCTCCTAAAATAATTGTCTAGGAAATTGTAAAATAAATTTAGTTTCCTAAACTAATTCTTTTAAATAAATGTTCAGCCCTGTCTGGCGTGGCTCAGTGGATTGAGCGCCGGCCTGCGAACCAAAGGGTCACTGGTTCAATTCCCAGGTATGGCACTTGCCTGGGTTTCTGGTCAGGTCCCCAGTAGGGGGCGCTCAAGAGGCAAGCACACATTGATATTTCTCTCCCTTTCTTTCTCCCTCCCTTCCCCTCTCTCTAACAATAAAATAAATAAAATCTTTTTTAAAGAAAGAAAGAAACAAAGAAATAAGTGTTTAATCTCAGAATAATCTTAGATATTCAGAAAATTTACCAAAAAGTACAAAGAGCTCCCCTAGAAACTTTGTCCAGCTTCCTTCTTACTAACATCTTACATCCCCAACTGGGATGCATAGAGTACATCGCCATGGACCAAACTCCGGAGGTTACTGGATGTTACCCATTTTTCTAAGAATGTCTTCTTTTTGCTCTTAGATCTAGCCCAGGATTCCATATTGCCTTTTGTAAAATAATATTTTTAAATAAAATATTAATCATAAAAGAATAATGTTTTTACTAATAGTATTAGAGTTAATATTTTTCAACACCAAAATGTCAAACAATACATAAATATGGTTTCATTCCAGGGTGACTGTGGACATCAGGATGACGCTGGCTTTGGTGAGAATAAGAACAGTAACAGCAACAGCTGTGACAAATTAGCATTGATCAAGCACCTGCTCTGTGCCAGGCCAGGGCTGAATTCTTTGGATATCTGTTGGCCTGCCCTATAGTTCTAGTTTGGATTATTTCCATTTTACAGGTGAGGAAACAAGACTGGCAGCGGGGTGAGTGAGAAGCCACAGGCCAAAGTCACATTTCAAGGGGTGGCCTTTTTGGGACTTGAACCAGGAACAGTGGAAGAAGTAGATAATCCTTGAACCAGAGGACAGGCTCTGGCCTGTTCCTGCCATGTCCTCAGGGCCTGGCACACAGCTGGCTCTTAGCAAGTGCATGTATATGGCTGGCACCCAATAAGTGCACATACGCAGTTGGCGCTCAGGAAGTGCACAATGGCTAAGTGACCGGTGCCATGCCCCCTGCATCTCCAGATGTGGTACAGCCCCTCGGCCTGACGTTGCCCTGTTCTCCCCCAGAGTCGTGCTCCTGCCCGCTGGAGGTAAACGAAGCCCAGGAGTTCCAGCTCAGACGGCGGCGGCAGCTTGGGCCTGGGACCCCGGGGGGGCCCTGGAGCAGCTGGAGCAGCCCCGTGTGCGTCCCTCCCGGTGAGAGCGCCCAGAGCCACAGACATGGGGCAGGCATTCGCCATATGGCAGTGGGTAGTGGAACTGAGGCGGCAAGAGTTAGAAACAAGACGGCAGGTTTTTGAAATAAGGCAGCAGGAGAAATTAATGAAAATTATTAACAGGCTGCACTTGGCAAATTATGGCAAATCCATAACCTAAAAAGAAAAGTTACCCATCTTTCTTTCCTTCCAATTTGTTTGGTTGGTTTTGTCCTTTTAAAGTCACACAAGGAGTTGACAGGTGAAAAGGGCTGTGTCAGGAAGACGCTTCCCCAAACCTCACAGGAAGCTGGAGCCCGGGCAGCTCTGGAAGGCGCGTGTGGCCCCGGGGTGGGGGGTGCAAGTGGGGGTGACTGTCAACATTTGTCCCCAGCCCTGCCAGCTGGGGCCTCCTCCTGTCCAGTGGCATATCTGCTGGGAAATAACTCTGAGTTGTTTTCAGATTTGTCTTTAAATTGTGGTAAAGAACACATAACATAAAATGCACCACTTAACACATTGTGAAATGTCTAGTTCCATCGCATTAAGCATATTTATGTTGTGGGACGTAATCTCTATGTTCTCAGATTCGGAAAAGTATGTAAGAGCCCATGGAATCCTGTGTTTCATGGGAGGGATGGAAAAGGCCCCAGGCCCCACCCAAGGTCTGCGGGAGGTTGTGAGAAAGGGCCGTGCCCCCTCCAGTGTTACTGTCTTGCTGTCTCCTGGCAGAAACCCCCCCAAAGCCCGAGGTGCTGCTCTTGATGGAGCCGCTTGGCACGGATGGGAGGAGGCAAGTGACCCTGCAGGGGCAGGTAAGGAGGGCTGTGGCAGGGCTGCGTGCTGGGGAGAAGGGGAGTAGGAGGCCAGAGACTGGAGTGGGGGGACAGTGTGCAAGTGGGAGATGGAGGGAGACAGACATGGAGGTGGCAGGAGCTGGGAGGACCAGGGGCTTCACTCTGAAAGCATTTGGGAGGCACTGGCAGTGCGTGAGCAGAAGAGGGACTTGGCTGAACACAGGTGCTCACAGGCTCCTTCTGGCGGCCATGAGGGGAACATACTGGGGGGTTCTGGTAGATGCTGGAAGCGGGGGCGAGCGGGGGAAGCGGTGTCAATTGTGTTGGTCTCGATGGAACATGATTTAAGTCCCCAAATCAATCCATTTAGTAGAGTCTAATTAGCCCCCTTTTAGGCTAATTAGAGAAGGAAACTGAGGCACAGAAGGGAAACTCTCTTGCCTGGGTCAGGGGCAAAGTCATGACAAATTTCACCGTCACTGACTCAGCCAGGTCCCCAGTGGGCCATCACTTCTCTAATTAAGCTGCAGAGACGCTTCTTTGCATCCAGGGCTTCCTCTCGTTTTGATTCCTTTTCTTAGGAAAAATTTCCAGGGTTGAGGTCGCCGGGTCCAAAAATGGGAACTTTCTTCCTGGCTCTTAGTGGATTTTGCCAAATTGCTGCCCCCACCAAAAACCAAAAAAACACACATACAAAAAAACAGAACAAAAATGCCAGCACACGCTGAATGTGACTGTCAGTCTCAGGCAGCCTGGCTAGCGTCAGGGTTTACTATCTTTTCAATTTTGGCACCTGTCATACGCTGTGGACTGCGGCTGAGTCTGTGTTCAGGGGCTGTGCCCTGATATCAGCCCATGAGGACAATGAACGTGTTCAGGTCCCAACATGCCATCTCTCCCACTCACGACAGCTGCCTCAGCTCCAGCTCCCAGAAGGCTGCCAGGGGCCTACGTCTGACGCGAAAGTGACCTACTGCCTCCACCTGCACATGCTGTCCTGTCCCTGTCAGGCCCAGGCCACGAGGACCCTGAGGTGGAGGACAACACTCAACCTGTCGGGCGCTGCTTACAACCTGGCTGTCATCTCCCAGAATCGCTTTGGCCCCGGCCCCAACCAGTCGTGGCACATTCCTGCCCACGCACACACAGGTGACTCCTCGAGCTGGTGGCTGAGGCGCGCCGGGGCCCGGGTGCCTCTCTGAGCCTCAGCTGGACTAGGGCGAGGTTGCTGAGGCACAAAAATGTAAGGGGGTGTCTAATTTAGGGCTGTGCCAAAAGTCAGCAATCAAGATCCATAATGTTATAATGCAATACTTTAAAAAATTCTCACGGGTAAACGACAGCCCAGGCAAGCTGTCTCTTTTGTAAATAAAGTTTTTTGGGGAGGCAAGAGGTGGGGGCTCAGGGTGTGGTGAATGAGTCAGGGTCATGTAAGTACAGGGTTGATTCTATCTTCATTTAAAATCTTGATACTTTCCTCAATTGCATATATATACACACACACACACACACACACACACACATACTATGTATGTACATGTTTGTATATAAATATGCTTTGGGCCACAGCTCCCTGGGTAACCTTGGGCTGGTGACTCTCCCTCTCTGAGCCACAGTTTCTATGTCATTGGGGTGACCGTGGTCCCACGGCACCACAAAGTGGTGCCTATACAGCACTCGCCACTGGCAGGGGGCAGGCAGTCCGTGCCCGGAAGCAGCCCCCACTTCTCTGAGGTTGCTGCAGAAGCCCTCGCTCCAAGGAGCGCCTGGGGACTGAGTGGGTGTGTCCTCGGCCAGCGCCTGAGATCCTCTTGCCCCACCTACTGCTGGAGTGGGAGGCACCCCCCCAGGCTGGTGCAGGGAGTGAGTCAGTCCAGGGAACACTGTTGGGGGTGTCGTGACAAGGAACCCTTTGTCAGGCTGTGGGAGGACTCAACTCAATTAAACAGCCTCTCTGTCCCCTCTGTGCCCTGTCTCCTACCCGGCAGCTCCCAGTGTGGGGACAGAGATGCAGTAACTTTGGGCGGGTGGGGCAGAGCTGGGCCAGAGGTGGGGCGGGGCAGCAGGAGCCGCGGTGGGGCGGGGCGGGGGCGGGGGCGGGGCCGAGGCAGCTGTCCTGATGGGCCTCCCTGTCTCCTTTCAGAACCAGGAGCTCTGAATATCAGTGTCGGGGCCAATGGCACCACTGTGAGCTGGACAGCCTGGGCCCCGGGCCTGACATACTGCATCGAGTGGCAGCCCCAGGGCCCGGACCAGAGCACTGCCACCTGCACCCTGACTGCGCCCAGAGACCAGGATCCTGCTGGCCCTGGTACTACAACGGCAGCTGCCCCCCGCCTGCCTCTGCCGCCTCCGTTAGAGCTCCTGGTCGGCTCAGACCTGCAGGGGCTGTACATGGAGGGTGTCTGAGGCCCAGAGAGGTCTTGCCACTTGCTTGAATCACGCAGAGCAGAGGACAGGCTGAGACTCACCACACACGTGCGCGCACACATGGACACGCGCACACACGCACACACACCCCACTGGAGCCCCCTGCTGGGAACCTGGAGTGCCAGGGCTCAGCCTTGGGCGGATGGCACCCAGGCGGGTAATGAGTTTCACATTCCATGGTGTTTCTTAAACATTCACCGTCATCAAGAAAGGTGGCAGCTAGCAAGATGCACTGGTGACAAATTAATGAGGCCTTTGGAGGGAAAGAGAGGGCACCATATGACCCAGGCAACTTTCACTCTCCCTTCCTGCCCTGGGCCTGGCCGTGGCCACAGGAAGCTTTAACCTTGACCCGTCCCTCAAAGAGCTCCTGGACTAGGGAGAAAGGGCTGGGTACGGATGCCCTGCCCCATGGAGCAATGGCTGGGCCGGAGAGGTTAGGGTGGGTTTGGGGGCACAGGGAAGGGAGCCTAGAGGAGGGGACTTTCATGCAAGGGCTTTGAAGTATGAGTAGGAGTGCTCTAGGAGTTCCTTGCAGATGGCACAGCCAGTGCAAAGGTGCTGATGTGGGAGCACAAACTATTTACTGGCCTGGTCCTTGCTAATCCTTATAGTAACCCACCTCTGGAGCCAAGCGTCTGGGGCGTTGGGGCAGAAGGTGTGTTACCGCATCACCATCTTTGCTTCTGCAAAACCGAAGAAGCTCAACTCATGGTCCACGGTTTTGTCTACCTACCACTTTGGGGGCAATGGTGAGTGGCCCAAACTTGCAGGGGGGTCTCCCTGGAAAACTCAGAGGTGGCCTTAGGAGTCAGGAGGAAGCAGTAAGCATTATTTCAGAGGAACCTACTGCATGTTGTGTCCTGGCCAGAAGCTGGACACGTAGAGTGAGCTCAGCCTACTCTTAAGACACCTTGAGAGGCACTGCCCCATTTTATAGATAAGAAAACAGGGCCAAGGAGGGGAAGTGATAGCACTTGAGTGGTGGAGCCAGGAATTCTGTGGCCAAGGTTACCTGGACAGTGTGGGCTGGAAGTGCTTGGCCAGCACCCTTGGAGTTGACCATGGCAATGGCGCCGGTTGCAGCCTCAGAGGTCGGGAGCCCGCAGCACATGTCAGTGAAGATGCTCAGCCGGGACTCGGTGTCTGTGGACTGGATGCCATCTCTGCTGAGCACCTGCCCCGGCGTCCTAAAGAAGTACGTCGTACGCTGGCGGGATGAGGACAGCAACGAGGTGTCTGGTACGTGGGGCAGCACGGGAGAAAGGAGTCTAGGCTTGAGCCTGGCCTTGTTGTGTGACCCTTGGCACCTCACTGCCCCTCTCTGGGCGTTGGTTACCCATAACACAAGATAGTTGGACTCAAGGGTCTTGACTACCCCTTCTAACTTCCCAGAGAGGACCTGGTGGGCATTGGCCAAGCACTCACGATGTGCGAGGCACATGGATGGCAAACCCTCCCTCGTATCAGCAACCCCACTTCCATCATGTGACTGCCCAGCTTGGGGGCTCTGGGGCCATCCCACTGCCTGCGCCCGGCCTGGGAATGAAGGATCTATCTGTGGATCTATGGTTGCCTCCCCACACAGAGCTGCCCGTGAACCACACACAGACCCAGGTCACCCTTGGTGGCCTGCGAGCTGGCACAGCCTACAGCGTGCAAGTGCGAGCAGACACAGCGACACGGAGGGGCGCCTGGAGCCAGCCACAGCACTTCCACATGGGTGAGTGGGGGGCCAGGGCCAGGGCCCAGGTATTTACCCAGCATGCTCTGCCCCATCCCACCTGAGTCTGCAAGCAGTCGTGTCCTCCACGCATTGCCTTCAGGAGAAAGTCCCAGCCTGATCGGCTCCCACTGCCTCCACCGACCTCATCCTACACCTTCTCCTTCGGACCTTCTCTCACACTCCCGTGGCCTTACTCATGAGGGCCCCTTTGCCTGGAATGTTTGTTCTCCCTGTTGTCAAACTCCTGTTCATCCTTCAAATCTTTGTGCAAAAGCTCCCTCCTCCAGGAAGACTTCTGTGCTTCCTTCTGGGCACCCTCCAGCTGTGACTGCCTCTCTTCCCCATTTGACACCTTGGGAGTGGGTGGAGGTGTCTCTGTCTGGCTCCATCTCCCCCAGTTGGGGGCTCCTGGAGAGGAAGAGGAAGCAGGAAGACTGTTTCTTGAGTAAATGAAAGAATGCGTATGAAAGGATGAGCGTCTTTCTCAGCACGAAGATAAGGAGGTGGTCTCCGTTGTCCTGAGGTGTGCGGCTGTGAGATATTCGATGACTAAACGATCCTTGTTCCTGCCATGGCTCCTGCCTGTTGTCCTTGCAGTGAAATCTGGAACCAAAAGTCACGCTCGATGTGGTGGGGGCAGCTCTGCGTCCAGGGGAGCCACAGAGTCCTGAACACTTTCTGTGTGCCAGGCCTTCAGTCGCATGGGTCCGGTGGGCCCCCTGGTCTCCCAGTTCGCAGATGAGGAAACTGAGGCCAGTGAGGGCCTGCGGGGTGCCAGGAGCAACAGGGAGTTGATGCAGGGCCCAGCCCACCCAGCTCCCTCCCTGACGCTAGGCAGGAGCTGTCCCTCCCCCGACCCGAGCTCTCCCTCCCCCAAGGGATCCCGCTCCTGGAGGTGTCTGATATGACCATCATCCTCACATCTCTGGGGAGCTTCCTGAGCATTCTCCTCCTGGGTGTCCTAGGGTACTTCAGCCTGAACAGGTAACTCACTGCCTCTCCCTGACGTGAGCCCCCAACAATAGCTACCGTAACAGCAATGGCAATGGTAGTAACCACACATGCCAAGCAGGGCTGTGTGCTCAGTAGGGCGTCCAGCACGGGGAGCACAGCTGGGATATGACCCTGGGGCTGTCAGACTCCTGCACTGCCTTCCCCAATCCGCATCCTCACTCCTTTTGTCACCCGATGAAGATTAAAAAAAAAAAAAAAAAAAAAAAAGTCAGAACAATGAGACAGTGAGAATAGACAGAAGCACTGCTCCCCTGACGGCTCCGCTCCGCTCCAGGGCCCTGCCGCGCCTGTGCCCGCCCCTGCCCACGCCCTGTGCCAGCACCGCTGTCAAGTTCCCCAGCGGCCAGGGGAAGCAGGTAAGGGCTCTACTTCTAACTCCAGGTCCTGCTTCTTGGGTCCATACTCTGGGCCACGGTTCTGCTGAGTATTCCACCCTAGCTCACTAGGGCAGGGACTCGAAAAACCTGTCCTGTTTTATAGATGGGCAAACAGAGGCCCAAAGAGAAACTTCCCATGGGCCACTTCCTAGCAGCAGAAACAATGCAGAGTGGCTTTAAGAATAAGGGAAACTGACGGGGGCGGGGGCTCGCGGAATCCCAGCGTGGTGGGCTTCAGGCACGGCTGGATCCAGGAACTATGGCTCCATCTTTCTGTGCTGCCGTCCTCCCTACAGGCTTCCCTTTCAGGCAGGCTCAGCCTCCCCCATGGAAGGCAATGTCCATTTTCCCTTCACAGGAGCAGGACTCTCAGGGTCACGTGCGCACCCCTGCGTCTGGGGTGCTCTGGTTGGCAGAGCCAGGGTCACATGCCCAATCACATCAACTATGAGAAAAGCAGGTGCAATTTCCCAAAGAGAAATGGAGGTCCTTCCAATGGATCCTCACATTGGTCCCAAGATGGTAAAGAATGTAGCAGTCGGGAACAGGTCCATGCCATCCTTGTGTAAAAGGAAACTAGGGCCCTGCCCACAGTCTCGCCCTGTCCTTCCTCCCCAGGCTTGGCAGTGGACCAGCACGGCAGACTTCCTGCAGGAGGAGGAAGAGTCCCTGAAAGAGGCCCTGGTGGTGACCATGCCCTGTGAAACAGGCAGCGCGGCTGACTCCGACACACCCTGCCCTCCCAAGGACAAGACGGGGCTGCGTTGGGACACCTCTGAGCCAGCTCTAGACGCAGGGCTGCCCTGGGAAGACAGGAGACAGGTGCAAGGACACTCTGAGGTGGGGGCTCTGGGGCCCAGTGGGCAGGACAGTCTGGAGGGCAGCCCGGCCGAGGCGGCTGGACTGTCCCTGCTCCTGGGAGACCAAATGCAGAGCCCCAGGTCCGATGGGACTTGACACATGGGCCTGGGAGCCCGGGGGAAAAACGGAAGAAAACTGTACCTCATCTTAGTATCAGCGAGACTGATGTTGAAATCCCAGCAGGTGGTTATTAAATGCTTATTGCATCCCCAGCCTGTTTCATCCAGATGCTTGCATGGTGCCTGGGGCACATCACTGTCCTAATATACTATTTCACAGATGTGACCACTGAGGCACAGAGAGGGCCAGTGGCTCTCCTGCAGCCACACAGCACGGGCGGGAGTCAAACTCCGGCCAAGGGACCCATACCCCATTTTCACATTCTGCCACCATTGCCCCTCTCGCTAGTCCTGTGAGGGGAACCCTAAAAACCTCCACTAACAGAAGCTGCTACGTGAAACCGGGCCTGACCTCAGCGGGGCAGGGACAGGCGCTGTCGTCAGCTTGTTGGGGTGGAATACACTGGAGGGCGGCCTGAAGGCCAACCTGACCCCAGGGTCCTGGGCCGGGCATCCTGTTCCAGGAGCACTGGATGGGGAGTCCGGACGCTCAGCTCCCCCCCCCCCCGCCCCGGCACTGCGGTGTCTCCAGGCTCAGAGGACCTAGGTGAGGCGAAAAGAAGGGGGCCTCTCACATTCCGGGGGAGAGGACGGTGCCTTTCTGGCTTCAGTCTCCCCCTGTAAGATGGGAGAGATGATGATGACGTAGACCTCACAGAGCCGCTGGAGGAGTCTAAGCCTCAATGAATGAGCCTTCTCTTGAGTGTCTTTCCCGTAGCTGAAGGCTGAATTTTTTCTCAAAATCCCCCAATAGGAATCCGAGAATTCATTTATTTATTCATTCATTCCACATGCATTTATTAATCTTTCTTGCTGGGTTCCCCCAAGAGCTCCCAATCTGGGGGAGACACAGCTGGATGATCACTCTTCCAAGTCAGGACTGGGCAGGGGGAGGGGCGGCCCAGGGGGAGTGGGGCTGGGTTTCCCAGTAACAGGAACCTTGGTTCGCCCCTCAGTGCCCCCGCCTTCGAGGGGCCGGTCGCCCTGCGACCCGGGCTCAGGCCGGGACCTGGAGTTCCTCCTGCCTCCTCACAACCAAAGCCCCGCAGCAAGACCCGTGCCCCTCACCCCCCGGAACGGTCAGAACCCGCAGCTTCCTGATCCCCCCCCTCCCTACCGCCCCCACAACTTTGAGTTGTCGCACATTCCCACGCGGCCACCAGGTGGCAGTAGCAGCCCACTCCTCCCTTGTCCGGCCCGCCCCTCCCCGCCCCACTCCACCGAGTTTGCCAAACAGACTTTGCCGGTTTAAAAAAAAACAGGGTGCGCGCAGAGATTAAAACTCAGAACCACTGAGTTTTATGGGAAAAGGAGATGAGGCCCACGGGTGAGGGAGGTCAGGCAGCTTGTAAGACTGCGAAGCAAGAGGTTTAGGCCTCGGCCATTGGGGGTCCTAAACTCATCTGTGCGTCTAGATGGGGCTCCAACCTGAGAAGGTGGCCCAGGCAGTGGTAGGGCCAAGTGGACAGAGAGGAGAGAGTGCTGGGTCCACAGCCTCATGAGAACGATGCTCCATCCCCACCCCCCACCCCCCCACAGCGGAGCCTGTAGAGAGCTAACTGGCCCCGGGGCCGCAGTCCTCTGGACCGGAGGAGCAGGAGTTAGACGTTGACTGAGCCCTGCCTAGAGCTCTGGCCGATATGAATGGGAAAAAGGGACACCTCACTTCCATGGGGGAAAGGCCAAGCTTTCCTCCGAAGGAAGCCTGCAGGGAGGGCAGCAGGACAGAACAGGAGGGCCTCAGTCCCTGGAACTAGCCAGTCTGAAGCCTCGCGCCCTAGGATTCTTTTTTTTTTTTTTTTTTTTTTTTAATCACATTCCTTTTTTGTCAAAGCCGCTTGGAGTTCTGCTTCTCCTGTGAAGAAGTGATCCACAGGAGATTCCTCTCTGGGCCTCTGCTTGCCTGTCTGCGTAATAGGAAGGAGTTCAGAGCACCAGTTGGGGTCCCTAACTCAGCGGGTTGGGCAACCCTGCTTAGCAGAGCCCTGGCCCAGTGCGCATTGAGTGCTCTGCGCCCATTACCCTGGGCTCCTCTGAGTGTTGATCTTTCGGCTCCTCCCAACAACTCCAGGAGTCAAGACTGTGGTAGACCACATTTCCTAGCTTCATTCGCTCGTTGATTTAGGAACTCAGTGTAGAGCACCTACTGTATACCAGGTCTTGTCTTGCACAGTTCCCATCATGAGGGGCTCCTGGTTGGTTGTGGAAAACAGATGTTAATCTAATCATCACACAGAGTTAAAATAAACCTTAAAAAAGTGCCAAGTTAAAGCATGAAGAATGGGGATGAGGGAGGGCTTCCTGGAGGAGGTAGTACTAGGGCCAAGATGGTGAAAAGAGGCCAGAACAGCAAGATCCAAGGTCCTGAGACAGGTGTGGCTGATGAAAATGGGTGAGGGGGAGCTAGAGGTCACAGCTCAAGGGTCGGGGGGCCTAAGGGTTTACTCTTAGTCTAGGGGTGGGAGTGTCCTGGAGCAGGGGAGTTGAGACCGGATCTGTGACTTGTCCATATTCTTCCTGCCGTGGCTCGGTCCGGAGAAGCTGGCTCAGCTTTTCTGGCCTTGGTGTCCTGGCTGTAAAATGGGTAGGATAACCACACCATACCCTTGCCCCCGCCTCACCTCCTCTACGCTATTTCTGTCTGCGTGAGCTGACTCCCCCCCTTCATCATGGCTCCCACTGTGAGCCAGGAAGCTTGTCGCCAGCAGGGAGACAGACCCTTGCCTTAGTTTACCTCCCCAGACACCTCCCTCTTTGGTCTCTTTAGTGGCTTCTGGGTTTGGTCAGAAAGAGAGGTTGTCTCTGCCACTGCCCTCGAGCCAGAATGGTCCTCAGAGGCCTCTGGGGACCGTGGGCTACAGGGGATGACATGGAACAGCCCTGGCCTGTCCTCTCACGCTCCATGGCCTGCGCCCCCCAGATGGAGGAACGCTCTCCCCTGAACTGGGCACCTTTGCCCATTCCTCCTTTAAAAAAGAATATATATATATATATATATATATATGTATATTCACATACCATACACATCATCCTTTTAAAGCGAACAGTTCAATGACACTTAGCACATTTACACTGCTGTGCAACCTCTATCTGGCTGTGAACATCGCCATCACTTCAAAGGAGACCCCCTCCGTGGGCAGTCACAGCCACCCCCCCCCGCCCCCCCTCAGCCCCTGGCAACCACCAGTCTGCTTTCTCTACCTATGGATTTGCCTGTTCTGGCCATTTTATATACGTGGAATCATACACTGTGGATCTTTTGTGTCTTATTCTGTGACAGAAACTCCACATGATGTTTTCGAGGTTCATCCATGCTGCGGCATGTGCCGGTGCCCCGTTCCTTGTCTGGCTGAGTGATATGCCGCTGTGTGGATGTGTTAATAGTTATGTATCCTTTGTTGGTCTATGGACATGTGGGTTACCTCCACCTTTGGGCGACTGTGACTAGTGCTGCTGTGAACGCTGTGCACAAGTTTGGTGGGAGTGTGTTTTCATTTCTGTTGGCCTGCACCTAGGAGTGGAATCGCTGGGGCATATGGTGATTCTGTTTCTCTCGCTGGGAAACCACCGGGTCGTTTTCCAAAGCCACTGCACACTCACATTCACGCCGTCAGCAGTGGACAAGAGAATTGCAGTTTCCTGACATCCTCATCAACACCCTTTTTTCCCATTTGTTTGGGATCTAGCCTTGTAGTGGGTGTGAGGTGGCATGTTAATGTGGTTTGATTTGCATTTTCCTGATGACTAATGAGGTGGCATGTCAATGTCGTTTGATTTGCATTTCCCTGATGTCTAATGACGTTGAGCACCTTTTCAGGTGCATATCTGTCATTTGCATATCCTCTGGATAAATGTCTATTAGAATCCTTTGCTCAGTTTTCATGGGGTTTTATATCTTTTTATTGCATCATAAGTGTTCTTTATTCTGGATATTAGTTCCTTGTTGGATACATGATTTGCAAATACTTTCTTCCACTCTGGGTTGCCTTTTCATTTTCTTAGAGTGTCTTTTGTCATAGATATGTGGTACATTTGATAGAGTCCAATTTATGTGTTCTCCTCTGGTCGCTTGTCCTTTAGATGTCGTCGTTAAGAATCCTCTTGGTCTCTGCGGGCACCTGTTCCTGTCCTCCCCGCAACCACGGCCCCCTCTAGCTGGCCCTGAACCGTTCCCCACTGGGGTTGGGGCGTCTGCCTCCAACTCTGTCCCGCCACTTGGAGGTTCTAGGGCAGCAACAAGCAGCCTCCATCAACGTTTGTTTATTTACTTTAAAGATTTTAATTATTTATTTTAGAGAAAGGGGAAGGAAGAAAGAGGGAAACATCAATGTGTGGTTACCTTTTGCGCGCCCCCTACCGGAGACCTGGCCTGCAACCAGGCATGTGCCCTGACCTGGAATTGAACCAGCGACCCTTTAGTTGGCAGGCCAGCACTCAATCCACTGAGCCACCCCAGCCAGGGCTCCATCAATGTTTAATAACGGAGCACATAGAAGCTTGGCAGGGACGTGGGAAACTGCACCCGGGGCCATCTGCCCCTTGGCCGCAGCCAGCCAAAGGCCTCCGATGGCTGCGAGTAGGGGCCTTGCCCTTGCAGGCCCCCACTTTCCAGGTGGGGAAACTGAGGCACAGGGTGGCAGTAGGGGTGAAGAGGGGGAGGTAGGAGGGGACCTGTTTGGTCGGGGTGTTGGGATAGAGGTCGCAGTCCCCACGCTGGCTTGGAGCCACTCCTGGTTCCGGTTCAGTCCTAGGCCAACCCTGCCTGCTCCTGTTCCGGCAGGCGGTTCCTGCTGAAACCAAAACAGCCTAAGAGGAGGGAAGGGAAACACTCTCCTAGGTGGCCACAGGGGGTGGGGGGGAGGGGCAGGTTTCACCTCTGCAAGTCTCCTTGTGCTTAGAATTGAGGGACTGGGGAGGGAGGTCACAGCCAGTTGACAGCCGTCTGGCAGCTTTGAGGCGGGTCCTGGCTCTGCCTCC